TATGGGAGTGCAGGCTGTGAGGCCTTGTCCTGTTGCAATGGCAAGTAGGGGCTGGTGAGCTGGATACTTGGTCATCATGAACCGGCTGGCAGGAGGGCTATTCCAGGGAAGGCAAGATTGGGCATGGTTTCATTGGGATGGGAAGAGCCTATCTGACCAGCTCCTAGACCCAAGGGCCCTGGTACTGAGTGTACTTGCCATTTTCTCTTTCTTTAGCCCAGTGAAGACTTGTAGACCATGAATGGGATGTCAGGGGCCCAGACAAAGCAGGTGTTTTGTTATTGTTTTGTTACTATCAACATCTCACTGTTGATAGTAGGTACATTCTGAATGGGAACAGGTACAGAAGCAGAGATTAAGCACAAGGGAATTCAATATATTTCATGCTTTTGTGCTGCATTTGTAGAGTGAGAATAATATTAGTACCTACCTCAGGGTGTTAGGAGGATTATGCGACTTAGTGAAATGCTTATAAAAGTGCCTGGCATATGGTAAACCATCAATAAATGTTAATTATTTCATTATAATTATTGTGTATAAATCATAAATCATATAGTGCCATTCATTCCTTTGCTACTCCCACTCCCCCATGATTCCCACTTATGGGATAATATTCCAATTAAAAAAATTATTTGAGAGAGTGAGTGGGAGGGAGGGGGAGAGAGAATCTGAAGCCAAATCCATGCTGAGCTCAGAGCCAGATATGGGGCTCAATTCCATGACCACCATGAGATCATGACCTGAGCAGAAACCAAGAGTTGGACACAACTTACTAAGCCACCCAGGTGCCCCTAGTATTCAAATCTTACACAATGGTCTGCAAGGCTTCAAATGATCTGGTTCCTACTTGTATCTCTATCCTTATCTTATATCACTCTTCTTTAAGGCATTCTTGCCTTATTTTCATTTCTTAAAATCATGAAGCTCCTTTTGGTCTTAGGACCTTTGCATTTGCTCTATGCTTTTATAATCAGAAAAAAAAAACATTAAAGAAGAGGCACTAAAATCCAGAATCCATAAAGAGAAGTTTGAGAATCTTGACTACATAATAATCTTAAACATCATGAGGTTTAAAAATGAAATAAAATATAGCAGTCAAATGATAAATGGAAAAAATATACAGGAGTATGGCAGACGAAGGGTTAATAGCTTAGTGGTAAATAATCCAAACTCTGGATTCCGACTGCTGGGTTTGAATTCCAGGTCCATCATTTATTGGCTGTGTGACATAGAGGATCAGTCAATCTCTCTGGGCCTCAGTTTTATCATCTCTAAAATGGGGATGATAACAACACCGACTTCCTAAAACTGTAGTAAGGGTTAAACCTATTTAAGAGAACAACTCTTGGCATACTTCAGGTGTCATATGAGTGTTACTTGTTACTTTTAACAAGAAGCCAAAAAAAAATAGGCAAAGGATGTGAACAGATAGTTCACAGATAGAAATACAGATAGTAATACAAACAGTGATACAAAATGGTCAATAGGGACACCTGGGTGGCTCAGCGGTTGGGCATCTGCCTTTGGCTCAGAGCGTGATCCCAAAGTCCCAGGATAGAGTCCCACAAAGGGCTCCCTGCATGGAGCCTGCTTCTCCACCTGCCTATGTCTCTGCCTCTCTCTCTCTCTCTCTCTCCTCTCTGTGTGTCTCTCATGAATAAATAAATAAAATCTTTTAAGAAAATGGCCAAAAAACATTTGAAAATATGGTCAACTTCAATCATAGTAAAAAGCATGCATTTATTTATTTCACAAATATTTAAATATGCATTAGGTGCATGTGGGAATAGTGAACATCTTACTCTTGTGGAGTTTATAGTAATTTTTATATGTGTGTGTAATATTTAACACACCATGTGGTGATAATGTTTTGAAGAAAAATAAAGCCGAGATGGGTGTTATTTTATAGAGATCAAAGAAGGACTCTGAGATAAGGTGGCATTTAAGCAATGATGTGAAGTGAGGGAGAAAGCCATGAGCATTTTTAGGGGAAGAGCCTTCCAAGCAGAGGAAATGGTAAAGGCACGGGCTTGGAAGCAGGAGCCAGCTTAGCTTATCCAAGGAACAGCAGTAAATCCAGTTTGTTTGAGGCAAGGTTGAGTTGATAGGAAGTGAGGTCTAAGAGGCCATGGTCAGACTCTCTAGACTTTAAAGGCTAGGATAAGGATTTGGGACATTGCTAGGAGTGAACTAGGAAGCTTACTATCGTTTAGAATTGTAATCACCTATACATGACTGGGATCCAAATAACAAAGACTCAAATCAAATGTTTCAAGCATGTTACTAAGACACTATTGACTGTAAGACACACCATTACTGTCTGTACAACCAAGAAAGACAAAGTGCTACTAAATATAATCATAAACTGTCACTTAAAGATTTTGGAGATGTTGAAACATGAAGAGAGGTACCTCTTTAGAGTTGGTAAAATATGGCATTTTTTTCTCATGTTAGAATAAGTCCAGTTTTGTGGTTGCAAGATGGCCACTCAGCTATAGCCATTATATCCTCATTTTTAGGAGGAAGAAGGAGGAACTTAGGAAGGGGGAAGATGCCTTTTATTCTTCTATATTAATTTTGTGAAAGTCTCCCCATTAAAACTCATTGGAACTTTTATTGGCAAAGCATTGGCTCTGTAGATCAACTTGGAGAAAACTGCCTGGTGCCCAATATATAGTGCTAAGTAGATCAACATGTATGTTACAGTTTCATTTATATTTCATAAAGAGGATAAAAGTGTAAGACATGCTTGTATTTGCATAGAAAACTCAAAGGATACATAAGAAACTGTTAACAAGTAATCATATCAGGGGAATAGATTGGGGGTGATTGGCAGGGAAGAGAGGGGCTTTAACTTTTCATGTTATGCCTTCTTTTTTTAAAGAATTTATTTATTTATTCATGAGAGAGACACAGAGAGAGGCAGAGATATAAGCGGAGGGAGAAGTTCCCCACAGGGAGCCTGCAGCAGGACTCAATCTCAAGACCCTGGGATCACGCCCAGAGCCAAAGGCAGACCATGGAGCCACCCAGGCGTCCGTGCTGTGCCTTCTTCTAATTCCATTTTAAAAACCACAAATATTGGGGGCATCTGGGTGGTGCAGTCGGTTACACATCTGGCTCAGGTCCTGATCTCAGGAGCCCTGCAATAGGCTCTGTACTCTGCAAGGAGTCTGCTTCAGATTATCTGCCCCTGCCCCTCCTGCCATGGGCACACACATTCTCTCTCAATAAATAAAATCTTTAAAACCCCCTCACAAATATGTATATGTTACTTTTAGGATAATAAATATAAACCAGTAACCTTAAAAGTGGAGCATGCATTACCCTAGAGAGACAGGTAGACTCTCCATGGGGTAAATAGGCACTTAGAGTTTTTAGGGGATCAACTTCTATTATCCCCAAATTTCATATTTCTTATTTCCTAAAATTGATCTGCCAGAGAACACATATGTGCTGGCAGAATCAAGCCGGTTCTCTCTTTCCATCTCCTCTTTCGCAATGGTCCTTTTTGCACTTTACAAAACAAAGCATACCTTTCACCCATCCTGAACCTTACCTGGGTACCCTTCCCCACCATATAAAATCTGCAGGGCAACAGAGAGACAGTGCTGAACACTGTTGTCAACAGTGAAGAAAAAAAATGCTCTAACGAATGAATGAGGACCAAATCTGTTTGCAATTCAAATGGCTTCCAATAAAACTGAAGGAAAACCCAATGGAGTTCTCAGCTGATAAATCAGGAAAAATAATTTCGAAGACAAATCATTGTGTAATCCTCCCCCCCCCAGATCTCCAAAGGAATTCAAAGACTTGAGTGACATTGCTAAAACAACAGTCCATTCCTATTTACTTATTTGTATAACCGAGGTTCCTGTGTGCTAACACTTAACCAAACAAAGTAGAAAGTGAATTGATGCTGAATCCTGTCTCATTCTAGCAAGGAGCAATATTTATTCATGGAGACACCCACTAACTTAAAAGGCTTTTCTGTCTCTAATACATTTTAATCTTTTCATTTATTAATTACCTATCAGAGAGACGCCTGGGTGGCTCAGCAGTTGAGCATCTACCTTCGGCTCAGGTCATGATTCCGTGGTCTCAGGATCGAGTCCGGCATCGGGCTCCCTGCATGAAGCCTGCTTCTCCCTCTGCCTCTGTATCTGCCAATCTCTCTCTCTCTCTCTGTGTCTTTCACGAATAAATAAATAAAATCTTTTTAAAATTACCTATCCGAATTTGTAGTATACTTAACATTCTTTTTTGCTCCATCGTACTGTAATACCAATTGTCATAATAACTCAAGCAAGAGTAAATCTTTAATTGACCCTTAGAACTTTAGGCTCATAGGAACATTTAAAAAGCATTTAAATAGCAAACTATATACATATTTTTGCTGCAGGGAAAGATGACAGGATTCTCAATAAAATAATTTCAGGTGCTAAAATATATATTATTTGGGTCAAATTATGTTAGAAGAATAGAATACAATGAAGAACTTAGGTTGAAAAGGAAAAATGTACAACCTCCCACCATAAAGAAGAGGTCGAGTGTGGATTTTTTTTTAAAGATTGTATTTATTCATTCATGAGAGACAGAAAGAGAGAGGCAGAGAGACATAGGCAGATGGAGAAGCAGGCTCCCCACAAGGAGCCTGATGTGAGGCTCGATCCCGAACCCTGCGATCACACCTTGAGCCGAAGGCAGATGCCCAACTGCTGAGCCACCCAGGCATCCCTCGAGTGTGGATTTTTAAAACGGATGATGGTGGCTCTCAAATCACTAAGGTATTTAGGTTCCACTAGTGTCATGTAAAATTGTGACCTAACAATTTAATTTGTGAATGTTGATATTTGTTGGGATTGACATTTTTTTGCAGCTGACATTTTTGATGCAAAATCTTAAACGTCAACCCCAAAATGGGTGGAGCACAAGGTTAAAAAATATTGTTAGAGTGCATTTTGAAATAAACCAATAGTTTTATAAACTATTATAGACACATGTCCGAGGAAGCATCATATACTCTTTTGCCACCTTGTGATTCAGAACTGTGTTTCAACCCCAAGCGCCCCAACTATAATGAGGAGGAGTCGCTCCTTCAGTCGGCCCCTTCCACTAGCCTTCAGTAAGTTCTTTTGTGAGGCAGACATGGTGATGTTTGCCCAGGACTAGAATGGAGGGACACAGGCAAGCAGGCTGACACCCTCCCCCACCCCCCTCCCACAAGTGATTCACAGCAAAAGCAACATGCAGTCAAGAAAGAAATATAAGGAAGTACAACAAAATTCTTACTTTTCTTGTGAGGACTACTTAAAAAAAATCAAATGTCAACCTGGTCCCCATATTTTTTTTCTTGATTCTTTTGTTATGGGTGCCTATTCTCTGCTGGTGACCTGGACACTTCCTTAATCTGCCTTTTTGGGGGACCCAGCCCTGATTGTGGCGGGGCGGGGGGGGGCAAGTTTGTTTGGTTCTGTGCTGTGCACAGCTCCTGGTACAACACCTGCCTCTGGCTTGGAGCAGAATGTGCATTTGCTGAGTGAATGATGGCAGAGCCCACCTCCCCCTTCCAGAACTTGCTGGAGGTTGATCCCTAGGGTAGTCAGGTTGCAGGGGTGGAGGGCAGACAGTCTGAGGCACACAGAGCTCTTTAGGTGTTTTTGATGTCTGTCACTTTGTGGAGGTGGGATGAGAGTGCCCTCCCTAGCCTCCCTATGCTCCATGACGTGGGTCATTTTTGGCAGCAGGAGCAGGAGCAGGATTCCTTCAGTGGGTGTGCTAGTTGCAGGCCACAACAGGCTGGCATTTACTGAAAAGACGCTGGGGTGCTTCAAGGAATTGAAGTTGGCTTAGGAAGGCAGGGTACCAGGACAGCTCTTGGGGATCTCAGTTGTATGGGAACCAAGTATCTCACTCTTCTTAAAGGCTCCTAATTCTTTTTTAAAAAAAGATTTTATTTATTCATGAGAGACACACAGAGAGAGGCAGAGACATAGGGTGAGACATAGAGGGAGAAGCAGGCTCCCTGTGGGGAGCTCGATGTGGGACTCAATCCCAGGACCCCAGGATTATGATGCCCTGAGAGGAAGAAAGATGCTCAACAACTGAGCCTCCTAAGTGCCCCAAAGGCTCCTAATTCTTGACAACCAACTCCTATGCTAACCCCCCAGGAGGCCGAGGCACCGCCTCCTCCCTGGAGGAAGGGGCCAGGCTGAGGGGCGATGTCCTGTGCTGACCAAGGAGGACTCTGCGGGGGACATACTCAGGCAGCACAGCCCTACAAGTCAGGCAGTGTCCCCTGGGCCAAGGCCAGCCATCACAGGACTCTTCCTAGAACACACTCCCCCTTGATCTTCGAACTCTGGCTATCCACCTCCTCTGAGCTCCGTGCTGACTCCCTGGGACCGGCACCTGTGGCTACTTTCCGCTGCCAGCACTCTCGGTGCGGAGCTCCCGGAGGCCCTCAGACCCGGGCCGCCCCCTCCCCCTGCTGGCAGCGCCACTACTGAAGGTACTCCCCGCCCCCCACTCCCCACTCCCACCTGCTGCCGACCGGGGATCTGCCAGACTTGAGGGTCTTGGGGCAGTGTCCTCCCCTTTCTCAGCCGTAGGGGAGGTGCCAGCAGTAGGCATGGCCACGTTGTGCCTCGTCCCTCCCGCTGCCCCCCCCCCCCCCCGGGCAGCTCAGCGTCTGCTGGGACTGCCAAATCCTCATCCCACCCGCGGCCTTGGGAGCCAGAGGAGGAGGTGAGGAGCAGGCACAGATTGTGCAGAGCACCGATAAGATGGGCAAAGGGACGTGCCTCTTCAGCTGCAGCAGCCCTGGGAGCTCTGCCCCCCCGGGGGGGCTGTGGGATCCAGGTCCAGAATGGACATGGGCTTCATCCTTGTCGGAAAGGGCAGAACCTGGGGTGGGAGGGGAGCCTGGGACGGGGCTGGGGGCGGGCTCAGCTGTGGAGGTGATGGCCTATCACGGTTTCTGACTGCTCCTCAGGACCTGGCCTCCGCGGGGACATCACACAAACCCCAGGGACGCTTCTGGACTTGGCTATTCCTCCGCCCGTGGCCCCGCAGCGCTGGGGGAAGCTGCATGGACGAAGGGAAGGACGAGTAGAGGGGAGGAGACGATGAAGGGGGTCAGAGCTGCGATTGGAGCTGAGAACTGGAAGCGCCTTAAAGAGACTGCGCGGTCCCCGCCCCCCTTCCCGCCAGCCTCAATGAATTAGAGCTGTGTTTCCCAAACTTGCCTGATCATAAGAATCCTCTCGGGCCCTAGTTAAAGATACAGGTTCCGGAGCGCCTCCCTTCGAGATTCTGATTCAGGAGGTCCGCGGGCGGAGCCGAGGAATCTGTAATTTTAACACGCTCCCCACGTGATTCTCGTGAACAAGCAAGTTTGGGAAATACTGAATTAAAAGGAAACGGGGCCTGGCTGCTGAAGCGGCCTCCGCTAGGGGGCTACTGCGGGAGGATTCCCGGGGGCGTCGCCTGCTTCCGCCGCCGCCTCCTTCAGTGAAAGTCCCTTTTGGGTCCAGCTGTCACAGGCACCGCGCTCCCTCAGGCCGGGCGGGGGACACCCCAGGTCTGCGTGGCCCCCGCGCCGCCACGCCCAGTGGCCGCCAGAGCCCCGCGAGCAGGGGGAGGAGCCGCCGCCAGTGGAGGCGGAGGAGGTAGAGGAGGCGGAGACGGCGGAGACGGCAGAGAAGGCGGAGAGGAAGGTGGAGGCGGAGGCGAAGGTGGAGGGGAAGGTGGAGGCGGCGGGGAAGGTGGAGGCGGCGGGGAAGGTGGACGCCGCCGGGAAGGTGGAGACAGCAGAGGGTCCGGGCCGCCGGGTTGAGCTCAAGCTGGAGCCCGAACCCGAGCCGGTACCGGAGGCGGAGCAGGAGCCGAAGGGGGAGCCGAAGCAGGAGCTGGAGGATGAGAACCCGGCGCGGAGCGGCGGTGGCGGCAGCAGCGACGAGGTTCCTCCCCCCACCCTTCCCTCCGACCCCCCGCGGCCCCCCGATCCCTCTCCTCGGCGCAGTCGTGCCCCCCGCCGCAGACCCCGGCCACGGCCACAGACCCGACTCCGTACCCCGCCGCAGCCTAGGCCACGGCCCCCGCCCCGGCCCCGGCCCCGGCGCGGCCCTGGGGTCGGGTGCCTGGATGTGGATTTCGCTGTGGGTCCACCAGGCTGTTCCCACGTGAACAGCTTTAAGGTGGGAGAGAACTGGAGGCAGGAACTGCGGGTGATCTACCAGTGCTTCGTGTGGTGTGGAACCCCAGAGACCAGGAAAAGCAAGGCAAAGTCGTGCATCTGCCATGTGTGTGGCACCCATTTGAACAGACTTCACTCTTGCCTTTCCTGTGTCTTCTTTGGCTGCTTCACCGAGAAACACATTCACGAGCACGCCGAGACAAAACAACACAACTTAGCCGTAGACCTTTATTACGGAGGTATATACTGCTTTATGTGTAAGGATTATGTATATGACAAAGACATTGAGCAAATTGCCAAAGAAGAGCAAGGAGAAGCTTTGAAATTACAAGCCTCCACCTCAACCGAGGTTTCTCACCAGCAGTGTTCAGTGATGGGACTCGGTGAGAAATATCCAACCTGGGAGATGACCAAACCCGAGTTAGAACTGCTGGGGTACAATCCAAGGAGAAGAAGGATCACCTCCAGCTTTACCATCGGTCTGAGAGGACTGATCAATCTTGGCAACACGTGCTTTATGAACTGCATCGTCCAGGCCCTTACCCATACTCCCATACTGAGAGATTTCTTCCTCTCTGACAGGCACAGGTGTGAGATGCCGAGTCCTGAGCTGTGTCTGGTCTGCGAGATGTCTTCACTCTTTCGGGAGTTGTACTCTGGAAACCCGTCTCCTCACGTTCCTTATAAGTTGCTGCACCTGGTATGGATACATGCACGCCACTTAGCAGGGTACAGGCAGCAGGATGCCCACGAGTTCCTCATTGCAGCCTTAGACGTCCTGCACAGGCACTGCAAAGGCGATGATGCTGGGAAAGCTGCCAACAATCCCAACCACTGTAACTGCATCATAGACCAAATCTTCACAGGTGGCCTGCAGTCCGATGTCACCTGTCAAGCCTGCCATGGTGTCTCCACCACCATAGACCCATGCTGGGACATCAGTTTGGACTTGCCTGGCTCGTGCACCTCCTTCTGGCCCATGAGCCCAGGGAGGGAGAGCAGTGTGAATGGGGAGAGCCACATCCCAGGAATCACCACCCTCACAGACTGCTTGCGAAGGTTTACGAGGCCAGAGCACTTGGGAAGCAGTGCCAAAATCAAGTGCGGTAGTTGCCAAAGCTACCAGGAGTCTACCAAGCAACTCACAATGAATAAATTACCTGTTGTTGCCTGTTTTCATTTCAAACGGTTTGAACACTCTGCCAAACAGAGGCGCAAGATCACTACATACATATCCTTTCCTCTGGAGCTGGATATGACCCCATTTATGGCCTCAAGTAAAGAGAGTAGGATGAATGGACAGTTGCAGCTGCCAACCAATAGTGGAAACGACGAGAATAAGTATTCCTTGTTTGCTGTGGTTAATCACCAAGGAACCTTGGAGAGCGGCCATTACACCAGCTTCATCCGACACCACAAGGACCAGTGGTTCAAGTGTGATGATGCCGTCATCACCAAGGCCAGTATTAAGGACGTGCTGGACAGTGAAGGGTATTTACTGTTCTATCACAAACAGGTCCTGGAGCACGAGTCAGAAAAAGTGAAAGAAATGAATACACAAGCCTACTGAAGTGATACACAGACCCACCTGCAATGGAAGATGGCGACACCTGTACTACAACTGGCATCGAGATTTAAAGGACCTACTTGCATGGCCCATGGGCCTGACAGAGTAAGAATTGAACAGTACCCAGTGTCTCAAAGGTCACGGTTGGAAGAGAAATAGACGGGGCGGGAGAAGAGGCTCTAGTCTAAATGGTCACTTAAAGGAGAATTCAATGGCAGGAATGCTCTAGGCGGAGAAGGCAGGAGCAGGGAAATCCTGACACTGGTACATATCCTATATTCCTCCAAAAGATTGTGTGGGAAAGTGTGGGGCGGGAGGGGGGTGGTGTGTGTGGGGGGGTGTGTGCCCTTGTAACCATAAAACATCTTTCTCCATGGGTGTTTCAGCTTCAACTGACCAATCACATAACAGTTATATGTTTGGAGGGGGAAAGAAAAGTCTATACAAATGTAGCCCATTACCTGTATGGGTATGAAAGCAGAAAAGTGGAGGAGGCAAGGATATCTCATTGACAAACACCTTTGCCAGTTTCTTTGTATTCGTGATTTTTTGTGCTATTAAATGCAGTATTAATAAAAAAAAAAGAGCCCATGGGGCTAGTGAAAGATGAAAGAAGGGGGCTTGCATAAGGGGAGCAGTTGCTCCAAAAGTAGAGAAGACAAAAAAAATACTGTAAGATAAGCAACCAACACAGACAGGCCTCAACTAAAAGTATAGTGTGTGAGTGTTTTAAAAAAAAAAGCTGTATGATATACTTGAGCAAATCAATGAACCTCTTTGCGATTGTTTTCTCATCTGTATAATGCAGATAATTCCTACCTTAAAGGGTTATTGTTAAAGATTAAATGATATAAAATGTGTCAAAGTATAAAGTAAAAGGCTTGGAACTTTGTAGGGGCTCAGTAAACGTTTGTTGTATCTGAAACTTCTTTGGGTCAGGACCAGAGTACATCAAAGGTAAGGGTCAGTCCTATCTGAGATCCATGGACAGAGTGGACACACACACATGTAACTCCCTCCCCAACATTGTCTACTTGGAACCCCAAAGCAATGGACTCCACTTTTGTCCCTGGGTAAGGGCCTTACAACCAGTGCCACACCGGGGATTGAGGGAGAACCACAACTGTTCCCCAGAGTCATTCTGTCCATTTGGAAGACCATTGTGTTGTTTTTGTGACTCAGCATCCTAGCAATGGGACTCTCAGGGTCAGTAAGGCTGCCAGGCTGCCACGTGAGAGTGTTTGCTGGTCTTTGCCTTCCACAAACATTATGTGCGTAGCTGTAACATTCATCTATGGGCATAGATCAGTAGAAGAACTATTTTCCAAAGCTCGCTGGTCCACCGGCCCTGGGATATCGATAGGGTGGCACATTGGCCTCTTCCCTGATTCTCACGGAGGTTGGAGCAGCCTGCAGAGAGCTAAGCCAGAACAGATGGGGTGTGCCCAGGAGGGAGTAAGCCCTGGTGATTTCCTTCTCAGCATCAGGTACAAAGGACCTAGAGGTCCTATAACCTAGAAAATCTTTGGGGGAAACTATGTATCAGACCCAGGAGCTTGGATCCACTGGCTCTAGTAAAAGACTGGGCTGGTCCCCCATCCTCACCCTCAGGGCTTCCCAAGTCTACTTTCTGGTCCACTCATTTGAAAATACACATTTATTTATGTGGTTGTCGGTGCATCCCCAACCAGATCATAGATTTTCTTGATGGTGGTTGTGTCTCCTCTTGTACTCTGGGCTGCATACTTGGCCCCTAGCACAGTTCCTGGCACATAGCAGGTAGAGGGTCAAAACATTTACTGGATGAATCAATGAACCAGTACCACTTACCTTTCATAACCAAATTTTGCCAACACTGGGGGGCCCATAATCCTTGGGAGAATACGTAAAAAGTGTTGTTTTTGGTATCTCGTAGGATGAGGGAGATCAAGCCGTGAGTGGCCTCAGATGTCACTTGGCAACTTAATGCAGGGTATCTGCATTGGGATGTGTCTGGTAGCCCTGCCTGGGAAGACAGCCATGTCCTCGTTCCTCATCTCTGCCACAGGAAGAGTTCAGTAAGGCATGTGCCACCAGACTCTGCTTGCAGAAATGATCTTTTACGTTTTTAAGGTTTTTAAATTCGGATATATTTTAAACCTAGAGGAAAGTCGCAAAAATAAAAATAGTATAGAGAACATCTGTATACCCTTTACCAGATTCACCTATTGCTAACATTTTACCCCATGTACTTGATTGCTCATATGCATGCACACTCTCATAAGTCAGTGTATGTGTGTGTATCAGGACCATATGATGGTAAATTACATGCATCATGGCCGTTCATGACTAACATACCTCAGCACGCGGTGCCTAAGAGCGGGCATGTTCTCCACATGACAGTATAGTTAAGAGCTTCAGTAAATTTAAGACTGACAAAATACTGTTACCTAATCTACCATCTGTACTTGAGTTTTGTCTGTTGGCCAAATGAGGTCCTTTACGGTATTTCCCTCCTCATCATCGGATCTGGTCTAGGGTGAGGTACTGCTGTTAATTGTCATGTCTCCTTTGCCTCCTTTAATCTGGAGCATTTCCACAAACTTACTTTGTCTTGTATGGCCTTAGCATTTTTAATTGAATGTTCCTCATTTTGGGTTTGTCTGATACAGAAACTATCTTTTAAATACCCTGCACTCAGGAATAGTTCTAAGAGATATGAATGGCGCGAGACTCCTGAAGCTGACCTCCCTGTCTCCACTGGTGGAAGGCACAGACCACCAGAGGGAGCAGCTGTGCCTGGCACTTCCTGAATGAAGCCTGCACCTCCTCTGGAAAACACCTTGTCCCTCAGCAACAGGGGAGCCATTCCAGCCCAGCCCTATGCCCCTACCTGTCACCAACCCCCAAATTGAGCCATGGAGTGTAACAGCAGCAGCCAGGGCCTGCTTTCAGATCACACCACCGTGGGACCCAGGGCACCATGTATTCAGCAGGTATGTGTTACCTTGAGCTCAAATGGAGATTTAGACATGTCTGGCCCCTTGGGCAGACACCTCCAAGGTTGGGGCCTTCAGGGGGACAACATCCTTGACACCTTTGTCAACATTCCTGTGGTGTACCACAGTGGCAGTGGGGAGGGGAGGTGGGAAGGGGTAAGTTCTTAAACAGCTTTGGGGACAGAGGACACAAAGACAGGGGCCCAGAGTAAGTAAGGAAAAACATGGGAGAGGTCAAAACCAGATTGGTGTGTGACCTACCGGTGACTTTCAGACCCAACTGGGCTGTTTTACATGACAGATGGAATTCCTGTGTGAGCAAATGTGGGCAAGAGCTGGCGAAACTTAAGCTAATTTTTAACTCAGACTCCATCTACAAGCTGGGAAGGCCAGGGGGAAGTCATTTCACATGTGGATTTATGATCTGGACCCAGAAGGGCACAGGCAAAACATATGAGTGCTCACAACTGGGGTCTTATCCATACCTATAGAGCTCATACCGAGGGGCCAAACAACAGGGATACTTCCCTTTTACCCATTATACATGCTTCCCATGGTTTTTTGGCCTAACCTGGTTGAAAATTCAGGATCCAACCACTTCCCATTTCCTGGAGTAGCCAAATGCTGAAACTTACTCCACCCCCCTATTCACATATGTAACTGCCTCACTTCTTCCCTATCCACAGGGAATGCTGATCAGGGATGCCATCAACCAAGAGGTCTTTTCCAATCAAGAGAACAGAGTGGCCCCCATACAACTCATGTTGTCATAACGCAGTAGACCTGATGCCAGGAACCTGTGTTTGCGCCAAATGTACACTCACACCCAGAAGTGAAGGCCCAGGTCCTCTGAGACCATGAAGCTCAGCACCCACAGCCATCTGTCATTACACACTGACCTTTCCCTGCAGGTGACCAGAAACCATGTTTAAACTCTTGTATCAAAAGTGTACCAAATATATAGGAAAATGCACATATCGCAAGGGTACAACTTCATGCATTTCTAGGAAATGAACAGATCCCTGCAAACGACATCCAGATCAAGAAACAGGACATTGCCCCTAAGTCAGGGCCCACTTCTGCTTCCTTCCAATCAATGACCCCAAAGAGTGATCCCTATCCTGACTTCTTTCACTATAGATTAGTGTTGCCTTTTTTTTAACTCCTTCTATAAATGGAATTGTTCAGTGTGTATATTTTCGTGTCTGGCTTCTTTTGCTCAACATTTTAGGAGTATCAGATCTGAAGTCTTTTGGTCAAGAAAAATTTTGAGGCATGTTATATGAGCCCAAAATAAGAATCCATACTATTCCCAGGGATTTCTGACATATTGAATCAATTCAAAAGGACCCAGGCCATTGTGAAGTTGGACCTTGACAGTGTCTAATCTCAAGTATAAAAAGATGGTGGATGGAAAACAGCCTTCCAGAAAATCCTGGGATAATTTAAGTATTCCAGAAATGTTGATTTTGAGCCCTATTCTGTCTAAATAATCTTGGACCCCCAACCCCATTCCAATAGCTTCTGAATGGGATACTCTCTTCTGGTAAATCCTCAAACTTTCACGTGCAGCAGAGTCACCTAGAGGGCTTGTTAGTATACAGATTGCTGGATCCTGCCCCCCAGGATTTCTGATTTCAGTAGATCTGGGATGGGGGTTTGAGGATTTGCATTTCTAACACATTCCCCGGTGATGCTTCTGGTTCTGGGATCACACTTTTGAGAACCAGCGATCTATTCAGTTCGATTTCATACTGTGGTACTTAGAGCCCAAAGAGTCTATGAAGATGTTCCAGGGAGGAGCCAGAGGGAGGGTAAATTGGTAGATCAGGAACTCTTAACCCCACTTGAACCAGAGAAGTTTCCCTCATATTTATTTTATATCTTGGGGTTCCAAGTAATACTTGAAGAAAAAGTTCTAAATTTTTTAAAAAAGATTTTCTTTATTTATTCATGAGAGACACACAGAGAAAGGCAGAAACACTGGCAAAGGGAAAAGCAGGCTCCCTGTGGAGAGCCCAATGCGGGATTCGATCCCAGGACCCTGGATCACGACCTGAGCCGAAGGCAGATGCTCAACCACTGAGTAACCCAGGTGCCCCTGCTACTAAAATTTTTGAAAGTTGAAAATCACAGTGCTAAGGAACTGTAAAGCCTAGGGTAATGTTGTATTTAAACTACATGGGTGGTATATCTGGAAAATAATACAACATGCTACCGAACCTGACCTCCCATGTGCCCTTAGTCTAGATGGTCCTGGGGGCACTTAATTTCCTTAGAACTTAGAGTATATTTATGAGGACGAAAGTGATAAGGGAAAATGCTTAATTATAAACAAGGTGCAAAGTCATATGTATAAAGAATGTGGGTTTTTTTTCCTGGCAATAAAGCATACTAAGATGACATGAGTAGCACTCCCCAACTACAAACACATATTAACACTAGATGAACTATAACAAAAATTTTAATTTTTAGCTGGCCTTTAAAAAAGTGAAATCTCCAGAGAAGCAAAAAGAAAAATTAAAGCCAGGCCAGTAATTGTAAATGGATACCATAATCACCCATTGTGGTGTTGCTCGTAGATATCAGGTCCTAGGGGCTAGGGGCATAAAGGTGGGAATCTAATGCCCACGTGGGCACTGGCAACACAGCCTCAAGTCTACCAGAGGCAGAGAAACTGTGAATGAGACCTCTGGATAAAGCCTTTAGTGGCTTCTTCTGTTAGTTACAATGGATTTGGAAAGTGAGTAGTGAAAAGTCTTAGGCTCTCTCTCTGGAGCCACAAGAAATGAAAACTCCAGGCTTGTGTTATATGTGGAAACAAGGGTCTAAATTTACCCTGTTGCGTGTTATGGAAACCAGATGCTGGGAAATTAAAATAAAAACGGGAGCAGAACGATTCAAACCTCTAGAACCCCAGCAAGTGCAAATATTGTACATTTTTACAATCCAGGGCACACGGAACCTCACAGAAAAAGACAATATATGCTGAATATGGGTTCAGAAACAAACTATAGGAATATTGTACTTGCAAAAGAAATGGCACACCATGAAGGAGAAGTACTAATTGCCGTGAAGAGTAGAATTAGTCTCCCCAAGAAATACTGATGAGAACTACTAGTCTTTTTTTTTTTTTTGAGAGGGAAATAAGGAGATTTTCAGAAAAAAACAAACCTAAGAAAGCTTAACAATAATAGACTGTCACTAAAATAACTACTGAAAGATACTCTCCTGGAAGAAGGAAATTGAAATCAGGAGGAAGGGGTGAATAGAAGGCAAGGAACAGTGAACAAAAATTGGTAAATGTGGGGAAATCTAAGCATTAAGTATTTAGAACAATAATAGTGTTGAATGATATGGAAGTATAAAAACAAGCTGGCACCAAAAACATCTAAGACAGCAGGGAACTATTAATATTTAAAGCATTCTAAAGCTTTTGTATTGTTTGGGAGAAGGGTAGGGATAGTGCCTGAATCTGGACCTTGTTAAGTCAAGTATAAATGTTTAAACATTTAAGGATATGGGCTTCTAGTTTCTGGCAATGGCAGACTGGATTCTTTGATTCAGCTTCCCTGTTGAAGTAATGAAGTATGCTGTATAAAAAAAAACTTCCAAAACTTATTTAAAAGCACTGAAGAACTGAGAGGACAGAGGAAAACTTCCAGGTCAAATTGGGATGAAAGCTTGTAACCAGACAGGTAAGCAGAACATTGGCGGCCCAAAGCCAATTTGCTCTCAGGGCTTTTGCCTCCATTGCCCACCTGAGCTTTGATTCAGTCAGTGGCCACACAGGGCTAGAGAGAGAGAAGTTAAGGCTTAGGGCCAGCCCAAGGTAGGAGATTAATAGGAGAACCTCTCCACATTGAGCTGAGACACCAATGGGCTACATTAGCTGCCTAAGGGGCCAACCAGAATGAAACATGCCCCTGTCCCAACAATCCTGGAGAACTGTACAGAAGGCTGCCTTGGCACCGAGCAGAACTCTCTTGCTAAAAAGTAGGGGGAGAAAAAGAGGAGGGGGTACATATTTCTTTTTGAATTAATGTTTTCATTTTCTTTAGGTAGATACCCAATAATGGAATTACTGGATCATGTCCTATTTTTAAGTTTCCAAGGAACCTCCATACTATTTTCACAGTGGCTGCACCAACTTGCATTCCCAGCAACAGTGCACAAGGGTTCCTTTTTCTCTACAGCCTCACCAACACTTGTTTCTTGTGGGTTTTTTAAAAGATGTATTTATGTATGTATGTATTTATTTATGATAGAGAATGAGAGAGGCAGAGACACAGGCAGAGGGAGAAGCAGGCTCCATGCTGGGAGCCCAACGTGAGACTCCATCCCGAGACTCCAGGATCACACCCTGGGCCAAAGGCAGGCACTAAACTGCTGAGCCACCCGGGGATCTCCTGTTTCTTGTGGTTTTGATTCTAGCCATTCTGACGGGCATAAGGTGATATTTTGTGATTTTGATTTGCATTTCCATGATGATTAATCATGTTGGGCATCTTTTCATGTGTCTGTTGGCCATCTGTATGCCCTCTTTGGAAAAAAATGTTTATTCAGGTCCTCTGCCCATTTATAATTTTTTATTTATTTGATTTTTATTTTTTAAAAGATTCTTCAGTAAGTTTATTTTGCAAAATTTTTGTATTTTAAGTTGTATTGGCTTACACTAATTGACCTTCAAGTTGCGGCAGCTCATGAGTTTAGTGTATTCTTGCCATCCCATTCCATCCTGTCATTTAGTCAAAGAGTTCAAGACACATACACAAAACACACATGTAAACAGACACAACAAGTCTTTTGTAAAGTAAATAAATCTTTTATAATGTAAATAACTGTTCCTTTTTGGAACTTCTTATATCCATTTCATGTCTTTGCTGAAATTGGGATATTCACATTTATTAGACACAATCTTTATAAAGCAAAGTGTTTATCTTTTTGCAAACTCAAGTCACTCTTGAGAGCAATATTTTTCTTACTGATCTGAAAAGGATGGAGGCCAGAGAGGAAAAATCACTTCAAATGGTCAAAACCAGAAGAGGACTGAAAAATAACATACTTACTACATACATACTTACTAGTGTAGGGAGAAAAAAAATTAAGTGTAGAGTCTATTGAAAATATTGATATTCAAAGGAATAGCTTTGGACCCATTGCCAAACTTAGATTTTTCTCAATTAAAGCCAAGTGTGTTGGTTTTATTTAGGAAAAACATTAAGTTTTTGAAGTAAGAATGATGTAGTTGTACAACTTAGTTTTTATATAAATGACTGAATATACCAAGTATCAAATACAAACAGTGCTGTAGCAAGAAAATAAATCGGAAGAAACAGTTACTCAAACAATAGCAATAAATAAGATCACCATTTGAAGTTGCCTGGGTGGCTCGGTTGGTTAAGCATCTTCCTTCATTTTTTTTTTTTTCCTATTTTTTTATAAATTAATTTTTATTGATGTTCAATTTACCAACATACAGAATAACACCCAGTGCTCATCTCGTCAAGCGTCCCCCTCAGTGCCCGTCACCCATTCACCCCCACCCCCCACCCTCCTCCCCCTCCACCACCCCTAGTTCATTTCCCAGAGTTAGGAGTCTTTATGTTCTGTCTCCCTTTCTGATATTTCCCACACATTTCTTCTCCCTTCCCTTATATTCCCTTTCACTATTATTTATATTCCCCAAATGAATGAGAACATACACTGTTTGTCCTTCTCCGATTGACTTACTTCACTCAGCATAATACCCTCCAGTTCCATCCACGTTGAAGCAAATGGTGGGTATTTGTCGTTTCCTTTTTTTTTTTTTTTACATCAGTTCCTTTTTTTATTTTTTTTTTATTTTTTTATTTTTTTTTTTTATAAATTAATTTTTATTGGTGTTCAATTTACCAACATACAGAATAACACCCAGTGCTCATCCCGTCAAGTGTCCCCCTCCGTGCCCGTCACCCATTCACCCCCACCCCCCGCCCTCCTCCCCTTCCACCACCCCTAGTTCATTTCCCAGAGTTAGAAGTCTTTATGTTCTGTGTCCCTTTCTGATATCTCCCACACATTTATTCTCCCTTCCCTTATATTCCCCTTCACTATTATTCATATTCCCCAAATAAGTGAGAACATACACTGTTTGTCCTTCTCCGATTGAC